GTGAGGAGTTACAATTTACTTTCTCAACATTTAACAGAGTCGAAATCGCCTTGGTTACGTTATGCCTGGAGGCGAATGTATTCGTTCCTTTATGCGTGTTCCTTTTCCTTGCTGTTTTCCTATCACAGAATGCCAAGGCAACGTGTATCTCGAAAATTCACAGAACATTGAAAGACTTGGATAGAAGTTCTTCAACACTTGTTTCACAGTCCTTGCAAAACCCTGAATGATGTTTGCTAGTTTGGTTCACTGAATGTTCACACTGACGGTAACGTGTCGGGGAAAAGGTACAAACAGAAGCTGTGGTGTAAATGTTGCTGATTTAGAAGACTGCATTCCGACATGCTTCCAGGCACTGATACACTCATGGGATAAGTCAACATTGATAGGATAAGTAAACATTGATGGAATAAGTCAACATTGATGGGATAAGTCAACATTGATTGATTATTTCAACAGTGATGGGATAAGTCAACATTGATGGGATAAGTCAACACTGATGGGATAACTCAACATTGATGTGATAAGTCAACACTGATGGGATAAGTCAACATTGATGGGATAAGTCAACATTCGTGGGATAAGTCAACATTGATGGGATAAGTCAACATTGATGGGATAAGTCAACATTGATGGGATGGGATAAGTCAACATTCGTGGGATAAGTCAATATTTGTGGGATAAGTCAACATTGATGGTATAAGTCAACATTGATGGGATAAGTCAACATTGATGGGATAAGTCAACATTGATGGGATATGTCAACATTGACGGGATAAGTCAACATTGATGGGATGGGATAAGTCAACATTCGTGGGATAAGTCAACATTTGTGGGATAAGTCAACATTGATGGTATAAGTCAACATTGATGGGATAAGTCAACATTGATGGGATAAGTCAACATTGATGGGATAAGTCAACATTGACGGGATAAGTCAACATTGATGGCATGGGATAAGTCAACATTCGTGGGATTAGTCAACATTTGTGGGATAAGTCAACATTGATGGTATAAGTCAACATTGATGGGATAAGTCAACATTGATGGGATAAGTCAACATTGATGGGATAAGTCAACATTGATGGGATAAGTCAACATTTGTGGGATAAGTCAACACTGATGGGACAAGCCAACATGGATAGGATTAGTCAACACTGATAAAGACTATACTGAGAAATAAAGAGCTAGGGGTAAGTGCTGTGGTGTTCACATGCGTGTACAATTTTTTTTAACGCAAACATGATTGCGAAATTAGTTTGTAGTTTAGTTGATGACCTTGTGGTAGGATATTTATTGACGTACTCTCACATGTTGACCGATCTTTCTGTACACTGCGTCCGTGATAATGTATACACTTTCTATGACACACACCCTTGTGCAGGGCTATTCAACTAGGTTCACTTTGAAGCCTAAAAATTATAAAATGAATTGTCAAAGGCCAAATGCCAGAGCCCAAGCATAGAACGATTATAAATACAATACCACTGCCAATGATCCCAGCGGGCCACATGCTAGGCCCCCAAGGACCACTCTTGGCCCGCGGGACGCCGGTTGAATACACTTTCCCTCGTGGGTTGCTCATGGACAACTACCGGACAACTGTAAGAGCGAGATCGAGACACCGAATATAAGAAGAAACAGTCTAGAAAAAGCGTCCGTTTCACTGCCACAGCCAGACATAAAGCAAGCTTCAATGGTGTTTGCATAGGAGAAAGGTGACATATTCGGGTCCGTTGTTATAAAGATGCTGTTGCTCACCCTCTCTGTTGGGCAATGATGCTTAGATATCAACTGGGCTCTACACTGTGACATTGGATACATGCTATGCCGTGTCTGACATTACCATATTGATTTGTTGTATATGACAGAAAGAAGATTGCCACTTTGTCTTCCAACCATAAAATTGTTATTGATAGTTTCATTCTTAGAAACAATTTATCCTGGAAAGAAAATACCTCAGATATGCAAGTGTTCTGTGAAAGATAATTTTATTTCTGTTTGCTCATTCAATACACATTTTTAGATTACAATTTGTGAATCACATGTCATCTTGATAAAATGTTTTCACTGACATCACACCCCTCTGGCGTATACATGTATCCGTTCGTCCGCTGATGCACATGTCATCTAATAGTTGCGCCCTTTCATCAAAGACCTCCATGTTCCAGCTATGCACCAATCATCACGGACGTGTTTCACTGTTTATACTCTCAAAGCAGACGTGTAAGAGTATAATGCATTCTATTGGACACGCGATACATCTTTCTGCAAAGTCCGGTACTTGGGATAAACTGTGTAGTGACATCTTCGTAGTTATACGTAAAATCAGCTCTTTGCTTTATGGCAGTAAAACTTAGAGAGCTTATTTGCACCAGGAGAAACAGCTAAATAGCTTTCACGTGCGATGCCTAAGAAGAATGTTTGGCATTAAGTGGCAGGGCAAGATCACAAGCACTGAGGTAATGGAAATCGGGTATTACAACATTCTTCTCAATGCTTAGTCTACGAAGGCTCAGGTGGGTCACAACTAGAGAATGGAGGATGGCACAGTCTCTAAGGGTATCCTCTATGGTGAAAAAAGACGGACATAAAATACTGACGTCGACCTCTACTACGATATAAAAATGTGTGAAAGCGGGACATAATTGATACAGGTATTGAGGTAGAGTCGTGGGAACAAAATATCATGGGCCATGTTGTGTGGAGGGGTACATCAGGAAGGGAATGTGAATAAAGCAAGAAATATTTGCAGAAAAGATAAGAGCTGATAGTCTGGGAAGAAACAGACTAAACACAAACGTTGACAACAATGGTCCTGAAATCCCATGCTACAATTGTGGAAATCTTTCCTAACGCGGGAGAGTCTTGCTAGTCATCTTGACCATCGCAATGGACTGTGAGTCCCATGCCTCCTCACAGCGCAATAAAACACTATCGTCTGCAAAGACGAAAAGGTGAACCAGTCATACTTCATACTCATGTCTAGTCTTTAAGCATATTTCCTAACAGCATTGCAAACAGAAAAATCATTAAAATATACTCAACTAAAAAAGAAGTACAGTCAGCAAGCTTCCTATTACCACAATCACAAACGGACGTAGCGGCTAGAAAATCTTCATCAGCATATAACACTCATAAGCAAGGGTATGCAGGAATTTGTGTGCATGCACAGATATAACTGGCCCATGTGTATTTGTCAGCAATGTGCTCCAATCCTGAACAGCAAAGAATCTGAAGTCAAAACTGTTGAGTCTAATAAATATCCGTAATCTTCAAAATGTTGTTGAAATTATCTAACGGCTGTGAAATGACTTTAACCACAGTAAATTTTGAAATTATTATCAAAACAGTCTACCCATAACAAACATAGAACTAGTTAGCCTTCCACCTCTGTCTCCTCACTCGCCCTCCAGCAAACACAAACACATCATTTTTATAAGTCAGTCGACACTCGGTTTGCGATTTGATTAACACCAAGCCGACCTCTTTTACTTCCCAGGATATAACCTGGTACTCTTTCAGGCTGATTTGATCTGGTAGCCAAGGCCAATTAAAAACAAAGTCTGTCTCAATGTGAATTTGAGACTCAAACCTTTAGGCTAGGAGGCCAGCATCTATCCAATACATTACCGTTGCTTCCCCAAGCAAACCAACAGCAGCGTGAAAGATCTTAACTGGCTACTGAAGAGGTGGATGCTGCATTGTAAACATCATCTTTGGTGTCTGTAGTTCAGGCGTTGCAAATGTGCTTCCTAATTCCGGGGAGTCGGGTTTGATCCTAGCTGCGAGCGATTTTACAGCAGATCGCTGTGCGTTGGTTTCGACAGTGGCATCGATAGCCGATCGTGCAATACTGTGAGAAAATGCTGAACGTAAAACATGCGTTGCGAAATCACAACCAGCCAAAACTGCTGGAGTTGGTTCTGCAACGTCCCGTAAATACAGGCAACTAACTTTTCTTCTTATGCTCGAAACTAATCATTATGAAAGTCTGCTCCTGATTTGTCTTTGGTACAAACGACACATGCGCTTATGGTTTCTATTGTTTAAACGTGTTGTGGGTATTTTCATGACAAATCTTTTCTTACAGATAAGTGATTTGGTGTATTCTTATGTGTAATTATATCACTGTCGGATTGTGTCTAATGCTGATTAGCCTTTCTAGCCGCAACGTTAAATTTGGCTAGCTTCTTTTTCTTCTTCAGCATTCCGAGCCCTTGAGGCTCATTGCTGCAGATATCACGCGCCTCCATTCATCTCCCTGGTAGGCCTTCTCTTTCCAGTCGGTGACATCAATTGTTTTGCAGGTCTGATTGGATATTATCTCTCCCCCGTCTTCTTGGTCTGCCTCGTGGTCTACGACCATTCATCTCCCTCGTGTATACAGTGTTTACTTCTCTGTCATCTGACATTCTCTCAATGTGCTCCAACGATTTCAGTCTAATAACTGTCATGATTCCAGTGATCGATGGTGATTTAAACAGATTATGAATTTCGTGTTGCTTGTCACTCTCCATTCCCCGCTGTTTGCATCTCTGATGGGTCAATAGATTCTTCGTAAGACTGTTTTCGAAAACCTGTAATAAGGCTTCATCTATTTTAGTTGTGCTCCAAGTTTCAGAGCCATGTAAAACGACTGGTCTTTTCAACGTTTTATATATTTTGTCTGCCAGTGTCTCTCTGCCAACTGCTAATAAAAGTCAACATGTGTCCGGTAAACCAAAGTAAGCTTGTCGCTCGGTCGTCCAGGCATGCGGACTGTTCTAATTACGCTGCCGTGGCGACTTCTTATCTCACAGTACCTCCTTCGAAACCACTAAGTCGTCTTGTCTCTGGCCGAAAGTATAACACCATCCGGTAATTCTGTGCGGCGGGGAAGCAGCCCTGAGCTTCAAGATCCCCGCTGTACTTGCTCCCTGTGAGTTTATTCTTATTGTACGTGGCTAGCCCACAAGACTACCAGGAAAGACTGGTGACTATCGGGAAAGTCCTTTTGA